GAATGCTCGCCGACTCTTCCTGTTCGGTCGATCAGACGGTCCGGATGCCCGCAATTCGGTCGAAGTCAAAGTTGGCAGCGGTATCCAGACGTTTCAGACCGCCGGCCATGAGGCGTTGGCCTCGGATGAGAAAGCGATGCTCGACGACGAACACGTCAGGCTTCTCTACGTCGCGACCACCCGCGCGATGGACCACCTGGTGCTGAGCGTGTATCGCTCGATGACCGGCGACACGGACGCTTCCTACATCGCCAGCCAGTTTGAGGGAAGTTACGACAAGTGGCGCAAGCTACCTGATCCAACAGGGCAGTCGGCCCTTCGATTCGGCACGACCAATGGGCAACGCGACGACGAACTTCGATCAATCCCACCCCGCTAGGCCTAGACCACTTTGGATCTCGCCCCGTGTCGAGGTGATAGGACGCCAGGGACGCCCCAACACGGTGGCAGCTACGAGGTTGGTCAAGATCGCCAAGGAGGAGTCCAAGGACGAACAGGAGACCGACGAGCCCTGGAGATCGCGTCGCGCTGGCACTTTCGATAGGGCCGCGCCGTCCACCGCCTTTTCTAAAGACTATGAAAATATCTCGCTCGCCGACAGTTCTGAATCGAGGAGACCCTCCCACGCCCATTTCTTCTTCCTAGCATTCCTGCCCGCTGTTACGACATCAATCATGCTCTCGAGTCGCGGTACTTGTTCCCGTGTCAACGCGCGGTTGAGTCTGAGCGCTATTGGCGAGAAGTACCCGTCGGAGTCCCAATCGGCGACGGGTCGCTCCAGGGATTCATCGACCTGCTGTTCGAGACGCCGAACGGTCTGGTCATCGTTGACTACAAGACCGACTCGGTGAGAGCCGACGGCGTGTCCGCTGCTGCTGCCCGATACCGCCCACAGGCGGGCGGTTACGCCCTGGCCATTCAACGCTCCACCGGAAGGCCGGTGTCAGAGGTCATATTCCTGTTCCTAGAACCCCACAGTGAAGTATCTATGCCCAGCATCGGGCAACTGACCACCGAGGCCGAGTTACTGGCAACGGCCTACCTCACTTCAGACGGAATCTCGCCGGGGTCTCATCGACGACCCTATCGCTCGTGAGCTTCGCCAAGTGTGTAGTCACATTGCGCTGGGCTGAGTGCTTCAGGCCGGGCTTGAGATCGCGTGGATAGATAGAGTCGGCGATCGCCTCGGCAGTCGTGTGACCGTCCCTTAGTGCGTCCAGCACCTGGGTCTCCCGCCGCGTCCTGTGGTCGAATTGCCAGCGAATCAGCCCTTTTCCCTTAGGTGGAGGAACAACCGGCCCGTGAGCGGGACACACAGTCTCGTGTTCGATCTCGATGAGCATCTGAAGTGATTCCATGTACGCCGCCAAGTCACCGACCGACGTGGACGATGCCCCAAGCACCGTATCGCCCGTGAACATCACGCCGTCCTCTGCCAGGTGGTAGCAGACGTGGTCGACCTCGTGGCCCGGCGTGAACAGCGCGCGCAAAGTCAGGCCCGCCACTTCGACGCCCTCGTTGTCCTCCAGCGGCGCCACCGCATCGTCGTCGCCGAGTACCTTGCGCAGACGATCGACGAGCTTCGGGTGGCAGCGTACCGTCGCGCCAGTAGCCTCGTGCACCCGGTCCAGACCGCCGATGTGGTCGCCGTGTCCGTGCGTTATTAGGATCGACTTGATTGACGGCTTCCCGAGCTCGGCGTAGTAGTCAAGTATGGCCTGCGTCCACTCCCGCCTGTGATCACCGGTGTCGATCAGCACCATCGCGTCGGACGGGTCCCCAACGAAATAGTTGTTCGACCCTCCCGGGTGGGAGACCGCCCCATCGTCAATGTGCATGTTGTAAACGTGTGGGGTTATCTGCATCTATGAAGTTCGCTCCAACCTATAGTGCGTCCAGTTGCGATACCATCGAGGCAGGCAAGTCTATACTGGTCGCTTCAGCGTTGCTCTCAACCTGATCGGGACGCGACGCTCCCACGATTACGGACGTGATCTGCGGACGCGACAGCGTCCAGGCGATCAGGAGCTGCGGTACGCTGATTTCAAGCTCTGCCGCGATCGACCTGAGCGTCTCGACCATCCCGAACGTGCGCTCGTTCCAGTAGGTGTCCTTGGCTCGTTGGGCGTGCCTGGATGCCATGTGGCTGTCGTCCGGCGGTCCAGAGCTGGCGTCGTATCTGCCTGTCAGTACGCCGCCCATGAATACCTGGTAAGGGATGACTCCAACCCCCTGATCGTCGCAGACGGCGAACAGCTCGCCCTCAATGTCTCGCTTCCCCAGGTTGTACTCCGGCTGCACCGACTCGAACCGCTCAAGGTCGCGCTTGTCGCTAACCCACAAAGCCCTGGTGAGCTGCCACGCGGCGAAGTTGGAGCAGCCTATATAGCGGATCTTCCCAGCACGCACCATGTCGTCCAGCGTGCCGAGGGACTCCTCTAGCGGCGTATCGGGGTCGAAGTAGTGCACCTGGTACAGGTCGATGTAGTCTGTGTTCAGCCTGCGCAGGCTGCTCTCGACAGCGTCGATGAGGTGCTTGCGAGACAGCCCGACGTCGTTGGGGCCGTCGCCGGTAGCGATGAACCCCTTTGTTGCGACTACGAACTTGTCACGCCGACTTCTCACCGCCTTGCCCACGACGACTTCCGAGTGGCCCGCGTTGTACGCGTCGGCTGTATCTACGAAGTTGACGCCGGCGTCGAGCCCGGCGTCGATCACCGAAATGGCGCGCGCATCCTCCACATATCCTGCACCGAACATATTGGTGCCCAGACACACCCTCGACACCTTCAGCCCGCTCCGACCGAGTCTAACGTAATCCATGGAACGTCCTACCTGAAAAGCCTGGCCGGGCGCTCGACGGTCGCCTGGAGACGCCGCATGAAGCTCGCCGCCACCGCGCCGTCGATGACCTGGTGGTCTGCGGTCAGGCTGAGCGTCAACATCTCTCTGCCAGCAATCTCACCATCTCACGCGCGATACACCGTTTCTGTACGATCGACCACAGGAGCCCACTCGGGCGGCGGATTGAGCTCGGGGAATCCATCGACGGAACCCAACACGCTGATCGTGAAGGTACCGCCGACAACGTCAGCCGGAGATAGCGCGTTCGCGCGGGCCTTGTTCGCTTCGCCAGCTCGAAAGTCGCATCGGCTATCTCGGTTATGCTCATCGAGCCTACGTCGCGAACCACAGGGACGATCAACGTCGTCGAGCGCGACCGCCACTCCGATGTTCACCTGAGTCGAAGTAATGGACTGTCCCGTTCGCCAGGACGGAGTTCATAGCCGGCACCCGCCTGAGCGATTCTGCGCACGCCTTGATGAGCGCATGGGCCAAAGTTATCGTGGTGTCCTGGCCCTGGGATGCTTCGCGACGCAGTCGCTGCACTTCGGTCGCGTCGAAACTTCGAGGAAGTACGACAGCTGAGCAGAATTTCTGAGACTGTCGGACATGTGCCGTGCGATACTCCGACGCATTCCGCTCAGCGGCTCGCTCCTCGACGGCTCAGGCAGACCCGGAGGCATCGCGGGGGCCTGTTCAGCAGCGAGGGCATCCGCGTAGGCGCGAACGTCGGATTCGACTACCCGGCCCCTCGGCCCTGTTGCCGTCACCTGAGAAAGGTCCACGCCCAGACTCGACGCTAGTCTGCGCGCGCCGGGAGTCGATGGCACGACAGCGGGCGCGGCGGCCTGAGCCTCGGCGAATGCCCGGACGTCGGCCTCGACACACGACTCCGGGCGTGTCGTGCGTCAACCTGACGATAATATCGACCCCAGACTCGACGCCATCCTTCTCGCTCCGCGTGGCAAGCACGCGCCCCTCTCTGCCCACGCGCCGCCTGACGCCGCTGCGGAGCTGTCGAGTGGCAACCCTTGCGGCGGGAGCCGCCGGGGTCTCTTGAGCTGGGCGCCTCCTCACCCTCGGCAAGCACGTACCCGATCAGGCCATCCACGGCTACCGTCGCGCCCTCATCCACCAACGGGTGGAACCGGCCAGCTGCCACCGATTCGAGGTCGTAGTTGAGCTTCTCTGTTTCGATCTCGGCGATGACTTCGCCCTGGTTGACCTCGTCGCCCTGGCTCCTGGCGAGCCGGACCACGATGCCCTCGGTCATGAAGTCGCCCAGTCTGGGCATAACTATCGGAGTTGCCAACGTACTTCCCCCAGGATTACTCGTGCGTTCGCCGCCCTACTCGAGTACGCTGAGCGCTGCTTCGACAGTCATCTCAGCCGTAGGCACGAAGAGAGCCTCCAGCGGACGACTGTATGGCACCGGCGCGTGCGGCGCGTTCAGTCGCTTCGGCGGAGCGTCGAGGTAATCGAACGCCTCCTCAGCAACGAGCGCGGAGATGTCCGACGCGATCGAGCACCGCGGATAGTCCTCGTCGACATCACGACCTTGCGGTCTTCTTGACCGACTCGATATCGTCTCGTCGTCCATCGGCGACAGCGACAGGAGGTCGAGGACCTCTACCGAGTAGCCCTGCTCCTCCAGCGCCGCCGCTGCCTGTAGGCAAACGTTGGTCATATAGCTGATGCCGATTAGCGTAATGTCCGTGCCTTCCTGCACGACGCGCGACTTGCCGATTTCTATCTCGTACGATCTCCTCCGGCACGTCGACGTCGAACCGAATTCCCATAAGCTGGCGGTTGTTGAAGACGATCACAGGGTCGTTGTCTCGGATAGCGGCGGTCATCAGGCCCTTGGCTGTATAGGGGTCTGACGGTGCGACGCACTTCAGGCCGGGGAAGTGCGTGAAGATCGAGTAGAGCGTCTCCGAGTGCTGGGCGGCAGAATTGGTGCCTGCCCCAGTGCCTGTCATGATCGTCAGCGGTATGGTCACCTTGCCGCCGAACATGTAGTGGATCTTGGCCGCGTTGTTGGTGATCTGATCGGCGCATACGCCGTAGAATCCAACGTACATCAGATCGACGACGGGCCGCAGCCCCGAGGCCGCAGCGCCCACTCCCGCACCGACGAACCCGGCCTCCGAGATGGGTGTATCTCTCACCCTGCCGCGGCCGAACTGGCCGACCAGTCCCTTGGTCAGCCTCATCGGGCCGCCCCAGGCGTCCTGCTTGTCCTCCCTGTCTCCGCCACCGGCGATATCCTCGCCCATGACGATGACGTTCTCGTCGCGCTCCATCTCTTGCCGAATGGCCTCGTTGATCGCCTGTATGTATGAGACCTGTCGTACGGCTTCAGCTACCATTTGTTCCTCCTGGGTGTTGACACTTAACGCTGGGCGATAGCTGACAGGCTACGCATAGCTCACATAGACGTCCGTCATCAGTTCTTCGGAGTCGGGGAACGGGCTGTCGTCTGCGAAGGCTACCGCGTCCGAGACTGCCTGTACGCACTCCTCGTCGATTGTCCTGAGCTCGGACTCGGTGGCGAATCCGCCATCCAGAATGTGACTTTCGATCCTGACTAGGCAGTCCCGCGCCTCGTAGTAGTCCTCTTCCTCCTGGGTCCTGTATCCGAGAGGATCGTCCGCTCCGAAGTGGCCCTGGTAGCGATAAGTCTGGGCTTCGATCAGCGTCGGACCATCGCCGTTGCGCGCGCGGCTCACGGCCTCAGCCGCGACCTCGTGCATCTCGACCACGTCCTGCCCATCAACGGAGACGCCCGGCATGTCGTACCCGGCGGCGCGGTTGGCGACCGACGCTCCCGCGACAGTGAACTCGTAAGGCGTGGACTCAGCGTATCGGTTGTTCTCACACACGAACAGCACCGGTAGCTTCCAGATGCTCGCGAGGTTCATAGACTCGTGCAGCACCCCCTGGCTGGAAGCGCCGTCTCCGAAGAAGACCACGCTTACCTGGTCGGTACCCCTCACCTTGGCGCTCAGGCCGACGCCCGTCGCCACAGGAATGTTCGAGCCTACGACGCCGTTCGCTCCCAGCATTCCCTTGTTTATGTCGGCGATGTGCATGGTGCCGCCCTTGCCCTTGTTGGTACCTGTCGACTTGCCGAGCAGTTCCGCCATCATCTCGCTCAGATCGACACCCTTGGCGATGCAGTGGTGGTGGCTCCTGTGCGTGCCAAGGACGTAGTCGTCGTCTCGCAGATGGGCGCAGATACCGGTCGGCACCGCCTCCTGGCCGATGGAAGAGTGCATCCCACGCAGCTTGCCCGCGTCGGCCTCTCGTCGTGACTGCTCCTCGAATCTGCGGATTGTCACCATCGTCCTGTACATCCACAGGAAGCTGTCTCGATTTAGCTCAGAATAAGTGTCTCTCATGCTCCCCTCCACGGAATTTCAGATACACGTGAGAAGTCGTTGCGTCATAGCGCGGACAAACGAACTCGTCGTCCCGCTTGCCACGGCGCGAGTGTAGCAATCGAGGTGTGAGCCGTCAAACGTGACCCGTGCTGCTGTACGGCCTTGGAATAGGCCTCCGGACGAGCCTGCCTAGACGGAATTACTCGTCCAAGTAAATCATCCACTCGAGCAGGTTCTGGTCGGGGTCGCGCGCATAGAGGCTGACGGCGTTCCGATGTTGAAGCGCGCCCCGCCGGGGTCCGGGGCCGGCGATTATCTCAACTCCCGCTTCCTCAACCATCCGCCTGCACTCTTCTGCCGTACCGTCCCACACGAAGCATATGTCGGCAGACCCCGGGACTGCCGTCGGACCCCGAAGGCTCGCGGTGTACCCCTCCGGATGGACGTTGATCTTTGAGTTTCCCACCTGGATGGAAAATGCGTTGGCCTCTCCTGTACGCCAAGCTTCCTCGTCGTTGATCGTAAAGCCGAGACGCTTATAGAACTCGATCAGCCTCTCGGCATTTGCCGTGGGCATCGCAATGTGGTCTATTCCGACCGTGCTCATTGAATACTCCTTCCGATTACGGTGGTGAATCAGGACGGAAGTGGCGAAATCTCAGTAGGGAAGCTCGGTCTCAGGCCTCTGCCGAATGTAGTGCCCCTGTCGGACTCCGAAGTTCTCCTGGAGCTGTACAGTGAGTCCACCATCGACGACCAGCGCGTGGCCCGGTTATGAAGCTCGCCTCGTCTGAGCAAGAAAGACGACATGCGTTGGCGATGTCCAGCCGGGCGTCCAACGCGCCCCACCGGGTACTGGTTTCACAAAGTAGTCCAGGCCAGTGGCGTACTCGTCCCACCTTTTCTCGAGCCGCTCAGTGACGATGTGACCCGGGCAGATGGCGTTCACCCCTAATCCCGTCCGGGCCAAGCTCCGTGGAAAGCTGCCGAGTGATCCCATATGACCGCATGCTTGCCCGTCTCATAGATCAGTGCACCGGGCGCCCCGAACAGGCCATGCACAGACGAGATGTTCACGATGCTGCCGTGCCCAGTCCGGCGCATGTGCGGCACGTGTATTTGGCCGTCAGGAAAGTGGCCTTCACCAGGATGCCGATGCCGGCAGTCGAAGTCGGACTCGGATATGTCCTCCAGATTTGTTGTCTCCGCCCCACAGCTCCGCGGAAAAGTGCGTTGTTGACGAGGATGTCGATTCTGCCGAACTCGGCATGGGCCCTCTCGACCATCGCCTCGATCTCGTTCGCGCGGCTCACGTCCGCCCTCATGGCGACGGCACGTCCGCCTGCTTCGGCTATGGTCTCAGCGTTGGCTATGGCCGCGTCATGTCAACGTCAGCTATCAGCACGCTGGCCCCCTCCTCAGCGAGCCGGCGTGAGGTGGCCCCGCCAATACCCAGCGCCCCACCGGTAACGATCGCTGCCTGCCCCGCGAGTCTGCTCATCCTGTCCCCCGTTACTTCAAGATCGTCGAGAAGTTCTCGCACTCGCCATTCTAAACCAGCTGCCATCTCTGAGGCCCGAGTCCAAGTTACGTCTGTTGTCTTAGCCACCTTAGCCCAGCAGCACCAGCCCCCACACGATGGGAACAGACAGAAGCGAGATGAAAACCGCCGCCGAGCCGAGGTCCTTGGCCCTGCCTGACAGGTCGTGAAACTCCGTGCCCACGCGGTCAACCACGGCCTCGATCGCTGAGTTGACCAGCTCCACGATCAGCACGACCAGCAACGCCGCGATCATCAGCGCTCGCTCGACTCCGTTGTCGCCCAGCCAAATCGCGACCGGAGTCAGCACCAGCGCAAGGATGAGCTCCTGCCTGAAGGCGGCCTCGCCCCTTATTGCACTCCGCAGACCCGCCAGCGAGTACCGCGTCGCCCGCAGGATTCTGCCAAAATCCAAGGTGCGCCCCGCCATTAGAAGCGCTGGCGCCGGTACTGCATCACCCCGAGCAGCACGAACTTAGACCCAAACGTCTTCTTTTGCCTCCCAACCAACCCTGATGTTTCTGAAGCGATCCATACGATCCTCGATCTTTAGTATCTCCTTTGGGTAGAATCCGAGCATGACATCGCACAGTGTCAACATCCAGTCCTTCCGAGAATAGCCCTGATTAACAGTTATTCGACTGGAGTCCCTTATCTGAATCTGGCCCCATCCAAGCGCTCCAACCGTGAGGCAGTCCCAGTCGAAGAATTCAATCGGCTGAAACATTACGTCTGTCACATTGATGCGATTGCCAACCAGCGTGTAGGCAACCATTAACACCGAGAATACATTTCTGTCATCCTCATAGAACCGAGACAGTCGCTCCACAGAAGTGAGGTTGGGCATGCTGAAGCGGGTATCCTCACGATGTGTCTTGACGTCAACGATGCAGTAGAAGTCCTCTCGATCTCTGAACGCTAGATCCGCCATCGCCCGTCGCGAAAAATCCGAAGAGTACTCGCTGCACCATTCCCCTAGGAACGTGTCGAATTGCTCTGAGATCAACTCTTCTATAGCGTCCCCAGTCGCCCGTGTACTCGACGCCGTCCTTGGCGACAAGAATTCTGGCGCGGAATTTAGGAACTCTTTGATCGAGCCGGCAATGCCTTCTTGATGACCCTCGTAGAAAAAGGTCGACTTCATGAGAGCAAACTGCCCTGTATAGAGCGTCGTTGGCGAGACCTGCGAACTGGCGAGTTTCGGTCCATGAACACGCCGTCTGCGTAACCTTGAATCGCCGCATCTTCGTCTGCGAGCCTCAGACGTTTGAGCGCCCAGCAGCAGTATGTGTGGTCTATCTCAATCCCCAAGAAGCGTCGGCCCAGTTTCTTGGCCGCGACAGCCGTCGTGCCGCTGCCAAGAAATGGGTCGAACACAAAGTCCCCCTTGTTCGAGCTAGCAAGGATCAATCTGGCGATGAGCTTCTCCGGCTTTTGAGTCGGGTGGTCGGTGTTCTCCGACATCGACCAAAAAGGCACCGTCAAGTCAGTCCAGATGTTGGATGGAAATGTAAGCCTGAACCTACCATCAGATTCGTCGCTCCACCCTTTAGGTTCGCCATTCTCCTCCCGATACGGCGCGATCACCCTACGCTTTACCTTAACCGCGTCGACGTTGAACGTATAACTGTCCGAAACGGTACAGAACCAGATATCCTCCGAGTTGTTCTTCCAGTTCTTGGATGCGCCTCTTCCCTTATCTCGAGCCCACGTTATCCGGCTTCTCACCTTAAATTCACGTTCGAGCACCAATGCTATGTGAATTGAAGTCTTCCAGTCTGAACAGACGTAGATCGTACCCGTGGGTTTGAGCATCGGCTTGAGGGCACGCACCGCGGTAGCAAACCAAGCGCCGTATTCCTCACCACTCATTTTCCTGAAGAGTCGTCCATCGTAGTTCTTTGACAGGTTGTATGGAAGATCTAGGATCATCAGATCCACAAATGCCTGTGGCATATGCGGGACTACGCAGAATGCGTCGTGGTTTATGATCCTATTCTCTATATCTGCCTCGTCAACGCGCGCATATACTGGGAGGAGATCCTTGCTCAGCTCAAGAATCTCGTCGTCGGAACAGACTAGCGTCCTGTTTCGTGGCGCTCTCTTCTTCATGGAAGGCTCCGTTTCCTACCGTACTCGGCGTCTTGGATTATATCGATTATCGCACTTAATCGAACGCCCGGTCTTCGAGGATGGCCAGCGGCGTATCCACAACCATTGCCATCGCGCAGTCCATCCCGACGATGGACGCCGCGGCCTCGATGCCGACTCCGAGCTTGGGCGACCTCAGCCCCGTGGGTGAGTGCGTGTCCGACGCCATGACATGCGCCAGCCGCCTGTCCAGCAGCTCATGGGTGAACTTCTTCACCTCGTCGCCCCAGGTGCCCACGACGCTCCCGGAGGTGATCTGGCTGAGCATCCCACGCTCGACGAAGCTCGCGAGCAACTCGACGTCCTCCTGGAACGCCTCGATGCGTTCCGGGTGCGCCAGCACCGGCGTCAATCCCATGTCCTGGACTTCTAACAGCGTTCTCTCGATGTAGTCCGGCCTGCCGAAGAACGGCATCTCCACCAGGATGTATCGGCTGCCGTTCATCGGGAGCGCACGACCGGCATCTATCTCGTCAGGCAGCGCCTCGTCGAGGTGGTTCTCCATTCCCAACACGAGAGAAACGTCTATACTGCTCTCGGCGTTTTGCGCGTTCATGTCCGCGATCAGGCGGCGAAGGTGGCCAACCGACCAGTCCTCGGTCACGTCTTTCCGGTGCGGAGTGGCGAGAATGATCCTGGTGCCGGTCTCCGCCGCGACCCTCGACATCTCAAGCGTCTCTTCAGGCGTTCTTGACCCATCGTCCACACCCGGCAGGATGTGCGCGTGAAGGTCGTACATTACCTGCGCCCTACCTACGAATGTTGATTCTGCGGAACGACTCAGCGTAGGGCATGTCCGCCCGCTGTCCTATCCTTCGCGCGTTCGACTTGACGAAGTCGCCTACGTCCGTCCCGTCGTCAGAGGAGACCTGGGACGCATGCTTCTTCAACGACTCTATCTTAAGTTCGATAGTGTCGGTGATGTCTATGTACGTGTCGGGCTCCTCGGTACCCCAGAACAGCACGTCGCCGACCTTGTGCGTGTCCAGGCCGTCTTCCGTGATGTGTTCAGGGTAGTGCAGACGGTCTCGCGCGTAAGGGACACAGCGTCCATCGTCACCATCCCGCACATCCTGTGGTCGCGGTGAAGGTAGAAGCTGCGCCGGTGGGGATCGGTGGCAAAGACGACGTCGGGGCGTAACCGGCGGATCGCGTGGACCAGACGCTCCCTGAACTCTGACGTGTCCTCCAGTCCGCCGTCCGGATATCTCAGATACACGACCTCCTTGATGCCCAGCACTTCGGCGGCCTCAGCCTGCTCACGCTCGCGGATCTCAGCAAGTCGCTCGGATGTCAGATCGGGGTCGCTCGTACCCTTGTCCCCATTGGTACAGAGGACGTAGTACACCTCCGTTCCTTCAGCAATCCATCCGGCAACGGTTCCTCCGCAGCCAATCTCCGCATCGTCGGGATGGGGAGTTACTACCAGCGCTCGTTCGGGTCTGTCCATGGTCGTAAGTGGGCCTCCTGCTCGGGAATCGGAATTCGACATCTCAGTTTACAGGTATCGCTCCAAAGCTGTCAGCAACGGACGCTACTGACTCGCCTGTCCCTCTGATACAATCGGCTTGGCTCCCAGATAGGCATAAGCACAAGCGGGGAACATGAACGACATCACTCTACGAAAATTCGAGTGGGCAGACATCGAGTACGTCACCCAACTGTTCACCAGCATCAGCGGAGCGGGGGGCACAGAAAAAGAGGTCGACTCCGAGCTTGTGCGACAGACGCTTTCGCACCCGTCAGTGCGTCCTGAGGCCAACCTGACGCTCGCCCACTCCGGTGCCAATCTCGTTGGCTACTATCAGCTCTTCCCCGAAATCCAAATAAGTCGCGCGGTTATCGCCGGCGGTGTGCTCGAACAGCACAGGGGAAAGGGAATCGGCAGGCAACTGCTGAGCGCAGCAATGGAGCAGATCGAGGCCCTTAACGTATCAGTGCTGCACATCCAGACATCCGCAGATGCCACTGACGCCCGGCACATACTGGAATCCGAAGGTTTCGAGCAGGTGAAAGACTACTGGCAGATGCGCTGGACGGGCGGCGACCTCCCAGAGTTGAATCTGCGGTCCAACTTCAGCCTGAAGCCCTTCAGGCTGGGCGAGGACGAGGCGATGCTGACCGAGCTCCAGAACTCCGCGTTCGGTCAACACTGGGGCTTCTGCCCAAACACAGTAGAGGAGACCGCCGCAAGGGTCCGAATCGCTAACACCGATCCAGACGGCATCATCTTCGTGATGGACGGCGACAGGCCCGCAGGATACAACTGGACGCTCATGAACAAAAACCGGTTCGGCAAGGTCGGGTTCATCTCGATGACGGCGTCCACCCCGAGTACAGGGGCAATGGTCTGGGCACAGCCGTCGTCGTGACCGGAATGGAGTATCTCAGGCAGCAGGGCGTGGACGCAATCGAACTGGAGGTGGATTCCGAAAACACTCCAGCCCGCGAGTTGTACCTGAAGCTCGGTTATCGACAGGTCCACCACTCCGTCTGGTTCGAGCGTAGGTTCTAGGAGCGGAGAGATACGTGGACTTCCACTTCGTCCAGATGGCAGACCCCCAGTTCGGAATGTTCGCATCCATCAGCGAGTACACCGACGATGATGTCGAGGAGCGCCGCGCCAGGGGCCTGCTCGTACGTAAGGCTCCCAGGCCGATCACCGGATACGCCGACGAGACCCGACTGTACCCGCCGCCATTGAGGCAACCAACCGCCTCAACCCCGCGTTCGCGGTTATCTGCGGCGACCTGGTCCACGACGCTGCCGACCAGTCGCAAATCGACGAGCTTATACGCATCACGTCAACGCTGGACGGCGGTATCCCGATGCGCCTCGTCTCCGGCAATCACGATGTAGGAAAGGCTCCTACACCCGATTCACTCGCGCTATATCGGCAGCGTTTCGGTCTGGACAACTACTCCTTCGACCACGGCGACTGCCACTTCGTTGTCATCAACAGCTCGGTGGCATTCGACCCCGTCAACGTTCCGGCGGAGTGGGACCGCATCGTCCAGTTCATGATCGACGACCTCAGCGCCGCCAGAAGGCGAGGCGTACAGCACCTCGTACTGTTCACCCATCACCCGCTGTTCCAGGAGCATGCCGCTGAAGCGGACAGCATGTGGACCGTCCCGATCGAGCGACGCGACGTTATCGTCAGGATACTCAGGGACTTCGACGCGTCAGCGGTATTTGCCGGACACCTGCACAAGAACGTCTATGCCGACGATGGTGGGCTGATGATGGTCACGACCGGCGCGGTGGGCTATCCACTCGGCCCCGATCCTTCAGGCATCAGAATCGTACACATGCAAGAGGACGCGATACGGCACCGGTACTACGGCATGAACTCGGTCCCCGACTCTCTGCCGGGGCTGGGAAGCTCGGGCTAAGGATAAGGACAGTCCGCGCCTAGCATCGGTCCTGCCCCGCGGTCACAGGGTTACGATCTCGGCCCTCCACGACCGTAATCGTCTCCTGCAATCCTTCGGGGATTACTATTCCGCCGGAGAAGATAATCTTCATCGCCTGCTCGACGCTGATGCCCGCGTCGACTACCTCCTCTTCAGGAATCACCGCCAGCATCCCGGATGTCGGATTCGGCACCGTCGCGATGTAGATGACGAGCATCGCCCGGTCGTCATGCGGCAGCATGCACTGCCCCGTAACCAACCCCAGTGCCCTCACTCCGGGCCTTGGCCACTCCAAGAACACGACCCGGCTGAAGGCGTTCTCCCTAGGAGTCGATAGTGCCTGGGTAGTCTGGCTCGCCACGTCGTAGATCGACTTGACTACCGGGATGCGGCCCAGAAAGGCGTTGATTCCCAACGCCACTCTGATCTTGCCCTTTTCGCCGGTGACCAGCATTCCCAGACCATAGAACAACACGAGAGCCGAAGCTGTAACCGCCGACCAGACAATCAGCGTCGCGCCGGGGATGTCGTCCAGGATTGGCCTGCTGATCACAAAGTCGACGAACGGGCTTATCACGCTTCCCGCGAAGCCGATGAGGTAGCGAACTATGAGAATTGTTATGAACAGGGGGATCAGAAGCAGGAACCCGCGAGCAATGCACTGCCACACATGTCGCTTGAATCGCAGTGGGAGAGCTGCACGTTCGCTTCTGTGGAGAGTGTCCCGTTCCGGGCTGCCTGTTTCGATACCGTTCATCGCATTGCATCCTTGATGAACTCAAAAGATGAACTCAAAGTCTTAACGCTCCCCCTACACTCATAATACCCGAGGATTGCTCCAAGAGGTGAACCAAAAATCTGGTCAACATTTAAGGAATATATGGGAATGAGCCGGACGAGTTTATGTGCAAGTCGCAGGTATCCGTGTACTTCCGGAAGGGGTACGGACGTATCCGCCTGCACCTGCGTCGGGAACGAGTCTCGGAGTGACCACAGGCTTCGTAGCCTGCCTTGCGCTCATCAGAATAGTCTGGGGCTGACTATGCGAGTGCGTAGGCTGGCGACCCCTCAGTCCCCGGCGAGCACCGCCCAGGAGTCTTCGATGTGGGTGGAGTAGTAGTCCAGCATACGCTCGGCGACGCTGCCCCAACCCATGCTGAGAGCCTTTGCGCGAGCTGCCTGTCCCATCGCATCCCTGAGCTCCGGGTTGGCGAGTAGCACGTCCAGACGTTGCGCGAACGACTCCGGACACCTCCACGGCACCAGATAGCCATTCTCACCGCTGTTCACGAACGTCTTCATACCCCCGACCCTGGACACCACCACAGGAGTGCCGCAGGCCATCGCCTCCAGCGGGGCCAGACCGAAGCTCTCCGAGTGGGACGGCAGGACGAACACATCCGCCGCGCTGTAGTACGTCGGGAGCACGTTCTGCGGCAACGATCCGGTGAACGTCACGGAGTCTGAGATGCCCAGTTCCGCCGTCAGCGACTTCAGCCTGTCCAGCTCAGCGTCGTTGCTCGGGTTTCCTCCGACAACCATGACCCTGAGGTCCTCACCGTACTCCAGCATCGGGACCGCTCGCAGCAGGATATCAATACCCTTGAGCGGCTCGATCCGACCTACATAGAGGATGACTCGCTTCTCTTTGATACCAAGCTCCGCGCGAGCGTCGGCCTGGTCCACAGGCTGGAACGTATCGAGGTTAACACCAGCCGGAATGACGTGGATGTTGCGGGCGGGCGCTTCGTAGTGTCTGATTAGGTCCTGTCGCTCCTCGTCGGTTGAGACGACGATGCCGTCAGCGACGGACATGACGTGCCCTTCGATGTCCTGCCGGAGCTGAGATTCCTGCTCTCCCGGCCTGGCCCGCAGCTTGGTCTTCGCCAGTGTGTGGAATGTCGCTATGTGAGGGGCGTCCCACTCCCTGCTCAGACTCGCGCCCACCATGCCGGACAGCCAGTAGTGGCTGTGGATCAGGTCGTAGCTGGTCTCCTCGTCCCTCTGAAAGCGGTACAGCCCGTCAAGGAAGCTGGGGATGTAGGAGAACAGATCGTTCTTGGAGACGTCGAGAGGGCCGGCCTCCAGGTGTATGACCCTGGCGCCCTCTTCGATCTCTACGATTTTCGGGTCGGTGGGATCGTGGTACCGGGTGAAGACATCGACCCGGTTCCCTCTTCGCGCATACTCTCTGGCTAGCTGTAGGACATAGACGTTCATGCCGCCGGTGTCTTTCTCGCCCAGCCTTGCCACAGGACAGCCATGGTAGCTCAGCAGCGCCAGGCTTCTACACATACACACCTCTACCGTGAAATCGTCAAGTGGAACACAGGCTCATCCTGCCCACCCAAGTTGTACTTGTACCTTTCGTTGCCCTTCAGGAAGTTGAAGGTCTTCCGACCCTCTTCGATCGCCGCTTGCAGACTCAGCGCCTTGTTTATCAGGCCTACGCTGAGTCTCGAGTAGCTCGGATCGTAGCCGCTATTGTATAGCAGATACGAGCCTCCGTAGTCGAAGCAGATGCAGCCGGCGACATTCTCACCGTCCACCTCGAGGAAGCTCAGTATGAACTGGCCGCGACTAACCGACTCCCTGGCAATGTCCATGAAGAACGTCTCCCGCTCCGGAGTCAGGAATTCGTTCTTGTCTTCGCGGCTGGCGCGCAGCAGCCTGAAGAAGTCCTGCATAGATCCGTTCAGCACTTCACCGTCGTCGGCTACGTACTGACGATGGGTGTTCTCTCTACCCAGCCGTCGTATCTTCCGCCTCAGCTCGTGCCGGTCCTTCTTCCGCAGTCCGGCCAGGAACTCGTCCCAGGTGGCCGGGAGCTCCGCCTTGGGCGTCGTCTCCTCTACCTCGATTGCGACGCTCATGTCCATGCTCTCTGCGAGACCGGGAAGGTGCTCCAGCGTCGGCGTCCCGGTGGGTAGCGACGGGAGATCAAGCGTGGCCCACTCAGCCGCCGACAGATGTTCCCACAGCGCCGGGAAGAATCGATCTACTCGGTCCTGCGGCACGACGAAGTCGAAGTAGTCCGAGAGGTCCTTGTCACCGAGAAAGGTCAGCCTGTCTCCGTCGGACATCAGTGGGGCGATACCAAGCAGATCGTCGCCGTCGCTAACCGACAGGATGCGAAGCTCTCTGGAGCCTCCGAAGTTGTCCCACCACGTCTTGTGCCACCATGGAGTCACGAACACGGTATCGGTAACGCACTTAGGAAGTATCTGCTCCCAGCGACTCCAGATGGAATCAAAGCTCTCTGCTCGCACCTCGGTGGTCAATCTATGTAGGCTCCTCTACTCAACCGACAGCGCCTGCTCGACAGCCGCCAGGTCGGGAGGGTACTCCTCCATCCACGTCGGCTCGATCTCGTTCGCCAGGTCCGGGTCCTTCAGGCCGGAGCCTGTGATGATGCACACGACCTTCTTGCCTTCAAGGTCCAGCCCAGCCTCGGAGTGCTTGAGCAGACCAGCAACACCCGCAGCCGACGCTGGCTCGCAGAACACCCCCTCACCGCTGGCCATCAGCCTGTAAGCGTCCAGGATTTTCTCGTCTGACACCATGTCGATGGCGCCGCCAGACTCATCCCGCGCCCTGATCGCTCTGTTCCAGCTTGCAGGGTTGCCTATCCTGATGGCGGACGCGATGGTCTCCGGCTCAGGGACGATGTCTCCCCTCACGATCGGCGCCGCGCCCTGCGCCTGGAAACCCATCATCCTCGGCCGCACCGCGGACCACTCGTTTTAATGTACGCCTCCTGGAAGCCAAGCCAGTAGGCGGTGATATTGCCGGCGTTGCCAACCGGGATGAAGACGAAGTCGGGGGCAGTTCCAAGGTCTTCGACTATCTCGAACGATGCTGTCTTCTGACCCTGGATACGATTGGGATTGACTGAGTTGACGAGGGTGATGGGGTTTCTCTCTGTGAGCTCGCGGACGAGTTCGAGCGCGTGGTCGAAGCTGCCGCGAATCAGCATGATGCGGGCGCCGTAGGCTATAGCCTGCGCCATCTTCCCCCTCGATATGTTGCCCTTGGGCACTATTATGGTCGTCGGCAGATCCAGGTACGCCCCATATGCGGCGGCTGACGCGCTGGTGTTGCCCGTTGACGCACAGGCGATGCTCCGGCCGCCTGCCTCGATCGCCTTGGCGACCGCCACCACCATTCCACGGTCTTTGAACGAACCGGTCGGGTTGCACCCTTCGAGCTTGAAGTAGAGCTCGTCGCACCCGACCATCGGGCCGATAGTGTGCGACTTCACCAGGGGAGTATCCCCCTCTCCGAGGGAGATCATCGGCGTGTCGCCGGTTACCGGGAGGTAGTCTTTGTACTTTTCCAGTACGCCTTTGTTCATTATCTCCCTGATGACGGGCCTGACTCGGGGAAGTCGTTCCAGCTGGTCTCGACAAAACCATCAACGTAGTGCGCCGTCGCAATACTGGGAATCGTGTCTTGAAAAAGTGGCGGACAGGGTGGGATTCGAACCCACGAGGGCCCTATAAAGACCCTACGCCCTTAGCAGGGGCGCGCCTTCAGCCGCTCGGCCACCTGTCCGCGAAGATCCTAAGTGCCCTCGCTCGAGTGTCACATACTGAGTCAAAGCTAAAGATACTCTAACGCACGCCGCCACCGAGTGACAAGTTTGGACGCCTCTGTAGGAGCATCACAAAAGTGGTGGGTAGAGGTAGAGGGGGTATCGAGGTAGAGAGGACTGGCCTTATTCTTGGACAAACACAAACACATCCAGGGAGAAGACCAGTCCAATGCAGGTAACGATCACCCGCACCATACAGATACCAGACGAGATCGAATCTATCAATGAGCTTGAGGGCCGCATACACATCTTTGGTCTGAGACTGATGCGCGAGATTCTGTGCGAGGTGTGGCAGTTGTGTCAGCGGCTGCGCTGGGCATGTGAGGTGTGCGGAAGCGACCGGATAACAGGGGAGGGCTATCGAGACTACGGCGTCATGACGGTGTTCGGACGAGTGAAGCTGAAGCGACACAGGGTGAAGTGTCACGAATGCACGAGTCTCAGTCAGCCAGCTGACAGCATGTTGAAAGAGGTGAGAGGAGGTCATGCAAGCATCAGGTTCGCTGAGTTGGCGTCTCTGAGCGGAGCGTCGTGGCCATACGAACAGGCGGCGACCGTGCTTGAGAAGATGGTTGGGGACAAGGTGAGTCACGAGCAGGTGCGCAGACTGACGAACAGACATGGACAGGATGCGGTCGAAGCTCAGCTCAGAGAGGCCGATGGTGCGCTCGAGCGGCACGTGGAGCCGTCGG